AGGCAGCATAGCTGGGCGGGGTGGTACTGGCTGGGGGCGTGGCCGTGAGGATGGGGCAGGGCTGGACTCGTCGCTGAGGGTGGCCAGGACAGGCCGGATGGGTCAGGAGGGGTGCCCTGGACACTGATTACTTCCAGCGGGATCGACTTCGAGGGAACCACCGTGGGGCTGGCCCAGGTGTCCGCCATGTGCTCGAGGTCCTCGGGGGCAGTGAACCAGGTGTGGAGGGACCCCTGCCCGGGTTTTCCACACAGGCTGGTGTCCACTGCGGGGGGCCTGGGCGCGGGGCGAGGCCAGCAATCCCCGGGCCCCGCGCACCTGCACGTGGGCTGCTGCCTTGCTGCCGAGGTGTGCCTGGCAGGACGGCCAGGCCCCTCACCCTGCCGGCCGTGAGCACAGCTTCTCCCGGCACCGGCAGGACCACCACCAGCACCCCATTGGCGTGGCGTCCACCATGGCCCACGAGATGGGCCACAACCTGGGCATGGACCATGACCAGAATGTGCAGGGCTGCTACTGCCCGGTGCCTGCCAAGGACGGCGGCTGCGTCATGGCGGCCACCCTCAGGTGAGGGCCGGCCTGCGAGGGCGCCCGCCCGGCTGCGGCTGGGCAGCGCCCTGATGGCCCCTGCAGCTCCAGTTTCCCCAGGAAGTTCAGTTACTGCAGCCAGGCCGACCTGGAGACCTTCGTGGAGAAGAGCCCTGCAGCCTGCCTGGGGAACCCTCCGGACCCCGACCGGCTGGTGGGCGGCCCCACGTGCGGCAACCAGTTTGTGGAGCGCGGGGAGCAGTGTGACTGCGGGACACCCCAGGTGCGCGGCTGCCCCCCGTCCTGCCCACCAGCGGGGTCTGTGGCCACCACCAGTGCCCGGCGGGCGCACTCCTGCCCTCTGACCCCAAAGCGGCCCTGGGGAGGGAGTCTCCAGGCTCCTGCGGGCTCGGCCCGTGCTGGAGGGTGGGGCGCTGGCTGGGGCGGGGGCGAGCTTGCAACCAGCCATCTGTGTGGCGCCCCAGGATTGCCAGAACCCCTGCTGCAATGCTACCACCTGCCAGCTCGTCGCGGGGGCCCAGTGCGCACAAGGGGCCTGC